GAAACTTATTTACTTACTAGAATTAGTTTTTTTGTTTACTTTCCAAATTCCTTGAGATCATCAGAGATATTATTGCTATGGCATGACTGCCATGGAACTCACAGTATTCCTTGAAAACTTGAAGAAACTTAAAAAAAAAGTTTTCCCCTGAAACTCCTTTAGCATCAATTCAAACTTTAATCGAAAAGAGGAAAAGCTACATCAATTTGAAAGAACTATCAAGCAGAACATTGAAAAAGGACGATTAATCAAAAATATTCCACATCAGCAATACTAATGGTTTTAGTTTGAATGAATTGCTGATCATGTCTAATATGTATTTTACAATAGTTTTTGCAGGCAGAACCATAATAGCAATTGCACAGTGTCAAGCCAACAAAATTCTTCTTGCCAACGTGTATTTTGGCAAGATAGTAATCGTAGACCTATTTGTAAGACATACAGAAGTGAAGACGATAATTGCTGAGGGGTAGTGGAGAGCACAAGCCCTTATCAACTCTTCCCTCGGGCAGTCAAACACACCCAGTCACAACAGCTTAAATTGTTGAGAAAAAAATTGAGGCACGGAGTCATGGACTTAGTCTCTGGTGAGTGCATCCATATAGTAAAGAATTACCCTTTCCTAATCCAGGGACTTTACCCTCATACTTAATTGCCATATCTTTCTAAATGAGGGTCCAACCCCCACTGTGGCATTTGTTGCGACCATTTTTTTTTTATTTCTGATTTTATACTTGACCTGTGCAGATTATTTCACATATCTTATGCCCTCCCCTGCTGTCAGAGCTAAGAATGTGGGGGTTTGGGGGGTTCTGTGGTAAATGACCTACATATATTGGAAGCATAGTAGAGGGCAAGAGGAATCCATCTATACCAACATCGTCATAATCAGTCATGCAGAAGTATTCCAAAATATCTACCATAAAGGGGTCATTCCATACCAAATCATCATCACCATTTAACCCCACCCCTCAGAATAGCCTCAAATTTGGTTTACTGATAAAGATCTATGAGCTAGAGAAAAATGTCAAATTTTTTTGAGAAATTCCATCTAGTTTGAGTTTTATTGACCATTTCATTTTTTGAAAATACCCCCCAAAAAGCTTAGGGCTAGCGATGACATCTTTGATGCACAAGTTAAAGTTATTTTAAACCTCACTGGAAAGAGATACATGGAGGAAAACAAGCACTTAAGTATTTTCAGGCATGTAGAATTCAAAAATAACACTTAGAAAGTCATATCTAGCACCAGGACAATGCCACCTTACAATAAACTGATGTAGGTTTCTGGCAAAATATTTTGGTGGTGGTCAAAAATTGATTTTTCCCCCAAGAGGCATACCTTTTACAAACTTTTTTATTATGTTTCCAAAATCTACATAGAACAATCATGTAGTAGACCAAAAGGTAGCTTGGGGTCTTAACTCCTTCCTACTCAAATTGGGTTGGAAAATCTGACCATTTTTCGAATTCGCAACCTTCTGTGTAATGGTTTCTATAACACTACCCATCCTTGCAGAGTACATGTATCATTGGAATTTAGCTTGAAATCACAAATATTGGCTTTTATCATATTATATAGCAAATTTCTTCAAAGTTTTATTAATTGTTTGAAAAATTATGTTTGGTAAAAAACGTCACTGAGCATGCTCCAGTAGATTATTCCCACAAGTGGTGCAAAGGATGCTTTGGTACATACTAGCAATCAAATGAAAATCAGTTGTCTGTAGGACCTGAAGTTATCACAAAACTTCTAGAAGACATCAACAATAAGGTAAGCAACTCATTTCCCTTTTGTCTTTGATAATGGAGGATTAATGCTCAAGTGTCTTTAAGACTCTCCTAACGGAAACATAGTCTTTTTAAGAGATACCTGTAACTCCTTGTGTATGGCTGTACTGCAGTGCTATGTGCTTAATTGCCTATAAAAATAATTTTAGTCTTTTCCAATAAATCCAAATGGATCAACTCTTACTAAGATTAATCATCAAATTTCATTATTTGAAATTGAATTTGTGTCGTCTTCATAACAGATCTGGAATATTTTCAGAAAGTGTCCGCAGTTATTATGGAAAAGATGCAACAATGTTCTGTTGGCCTTGAAAGAGATCTCTTTCGTCGCTGTGCCGACTTCACAAATTCCATCTTTATTAATCATAAAGAACCTGAAAATAAATTAAGAAATACTTGATTTTCTAGTTATTAGTCAACTAAGCAAAATTTGTCAATATTTGCTATATTTACCAGTGCATATTCCCTTTTGTTCTGATGATATCACTAAGTTTTGGGCTTGCTAAGATGTTTTCATATAAACAGATTTCCAACAAGTAATTTCATTTCTCTTTTGCTCTAAAATTGGCCTGTGTCTAGACAATGTGTTTAGATATTAGTAATGAAATGTATAACATGCAAGTAGCAACTCTAACCATGAGCAGGTTTTTTGTGTGAATGAAAAGGGTCACAGCATCTATCCTGGTAGGTCATAAACTTCACCAGATAAAACTGTTTGTGGTGAAAACAAACTGTATCTATGGAATTCTTCATTTCTGCTCTAAAGGCAATCAACTCTTTTTCTTCATCATCCAGTTCAGCAGCATTCATCAAACCAACACGTGAAGTAAAAGATTTCTTGTGGCATTCATCATCTCTTTCAAGGCCAACAGAACATTGTTGCATCTTTTCCATAATAACTGCGGACACTTTCTGAAAATATTCCAGATCTGTTATGAAGACGACACAAATTCAATTTCAAATAATGAAATTTGATGATTAATCTTAGTAAGAGTTGATCCATTTGGATTTATTGGAAAAGACTAAAATTATTTTTATAGGCAATTAAGCACATAGCACTGCAGTACAGCCATACACAAGGAGTTACAGGTATCTCTTAAAAAGACTCTATGTTTCCGTTAGGAGAGTCTTAAAGACACTTGAGCATTAATCCTCCATTATCAAAGACAAAAGGGAAATGAGTTGCTTACCTTATTGTTGATGTCTTCTAGAAGTTTTGTGATAACTTCAGGTCCTACAGACAACTGATTTTCATTTGATTGCTAGTATGTACCAAAGCATCCTTTGCACCACTTGTGGGAATAATCTACTGGAGCATGCTCAGTGACGTTTTTTACCAAACATAATTTTTCAAACAATTAATAAAACTTTGAAGAAATTTGCTATATAATATGATAAAAGCTAATATTTGTGATTTCAAGCTAAATTCCAATGATACATGTACTCTACAAGGATGGGTAGTGTTATAGAAACCATTACACAGAAGGTTGCGAATTCGAAAAATGGTCAGATTTTCCAACCCAATTTGAGTAGGAAGGAGTTAAGACCCCAAGCTACCTTTTGGTCTACTACATGATTGTTCTATGTAGATTTTGGAAACATAATAAAAAAGTTTGTAAAAGGTATGCCTCTTGGGGAAAAAATCAATTTTTGACCACCACCAAAATATTTTGCCAGAAACCTACATCAGTTTATTGTAAGGTGGCATTGTCCTGGTGCTAGATATGACTTTCTAAGTGTTATTTTTGAATTCTACATGCCTGAAAATACTTAAGTGCTTGTTTTCCTCCATGTATCTCTTTCCAGTGAGGTTTAAAATAACTTTAACTTGTGCATCAAAGATGTCATCGCTAGCCCTAAGCTTTTTGGGGGGTATTTTCAAAAAATGAAATGGTCCATAAAACCCAAACTAGATGGAATTTCTCAAAAAAATTTGACATTTTTCTCTAACTCATAGATCTTTATCAGTAAACCAAATTTGAGGCTATTCTGAGGGGTAGGGTTAAAACTTTCTAAAATTTCTGATGATTTGGTATGGAATGACCCAAAGTCAATTAAAATAATAACACCACCAATATTTACAGCATTCAAAAAGCCTAGAAAATTTATAAAAAAAACAAGGAACGGGAAAATCACGCAAGGTCATGTAGACTTTAAACTGACTCCTTGATGGCTGAGCACTTCTCAAGTCGTCTATATGCAGATACACTTAACAGTATTGCAAAGAACATCACAATTTCCCAGTCGCAGATTGCTAAAGGAGAATCTTTTGATTTGATCCATGAGTTAATTTAAATTAATTATATTACATTTAAATGAGACAACCCTGATCGCCCCAGCTGCTAAATACAGTTACAAAACTAAAATAAATGCACACAAGACACGAGAAGCAGTTCAGTGAAGAAAAAATCGTTAATACCGGCGAAGCGAATCAAACAGGAATATTTAGCCCAAAAATTACATTAATGAAAAACCTCCTCAACTTCAACTTGGTCAATATCTCACCTGTAAAATACTTGTATTTGGAGAGACTTTGACGACTGCTCTTCGGCCATTAGGGCACAAGACGGTCACTGAGGCAGGCATTGTCACAGAGTTAAATAAAGAGTTAATTAAGAGTTGAATTAAGTTGATATAAAGTTCTTTTCAGATGACGGGAAGGATGACACACCAACCTTTATTTATCTACTAAAGAAGGGTTGTGTAATAGGTTTTTTATCTTCGGTGCATAATCTGTGAGGAATACGAGCCTCTCTAACACGCTTTTTTATTTATATTTTTTTCTAATTGTCATGATTCTTTAGGTCACACTACATTTGCGTGTTCTTTCTTATACTATATGAAAAAATAACCAATACGTAACCTTTATTTATTTTCTGGAGTTTTGATTAAAAAGAATACCGCTTCTGTATTACAATTTTACTTTTATTTTTGGTTAACATGATGTATCGGAAAATCTAAAAATATTTTTATTATAATAAATATTATTATCAATTAGAAGGATGCAGATATTTGATATTTCAGAATTCGGAAGAACGAATGCCGTCGGTAGCATTTGCTAAATAATAAAAATCAAACCTACTTAAATACTTGGCCTTATATTACAAATAAAATAATCAACTCTTACAAAATCAGTGTAATACAAATATATCTAAATTGCTAAAAACTGATATCAGAAAAAATAACATCGAACTTGAAAATTTCTCAGATGTGTCTGCCTTAAGTCTTTCCATTCGCGTTCTCCGCCGCTGAGGTCAGGACTCGAGGGTTTTCGATTTTTATCTCGATTTACCACCATCATCCGTTCGTACCTTGAAGTAGAAAGTATTATATACGGAAGACCAAGTGTTGTACAGTATATTCAGAGTGGTAATTGTTAGATATGTTGTGAAATAGTGATATAAAATGAAAGTGAATGGTATGGTGGTGCCGCTGGACGGTGTAAACAAACGTTCAGAGAGTTGGATGTTGGGAAGGAAATCTTTCGGTGATATCACAGTTATTTAGTGTTTTTTCCATGAACTACCTATTGTTTTTAAGTTCTTCAGTGTTATAATTCGAGACGAAGGTAGAATAAGTAAAAGAGTAAAAGTCGTAAAGAAGAAATAACCCGAGCATGTTCAGTACATTCATTTATCCGAATTCTTAACTATACGTATTACCACGTGTTACATGTTATAATTTAACGAGAAGAAAAAGATCAGATCCCATAGGCAAAACACCGAGGAAAGGTATTGGTAATATTATAGAAAACTGCATCGCCAGTCCTAACAAATGCTGTCACTGAACCGACTGTCTTGAGCTCACATGGAGGTGTTTTTGATATATGGGATCAGCTGATCTATACTTTAACCAGTTTTTGTGCATTTGCCGGGTTTTTGTTATTAGACCACATGTAGAAAATTAAATAGGTATGGATATTCAGTGATTGCGCTAAGATTGGGGAAATTAAGGTACACAGAGGGGGATAAATACTCGCTGATATGAAACCTGTATAGGCATAGAACTTCAGGAGTGAAGAATTATTAGGTTACGATAAATGCCGGATAGAGAGCAAGTCCACAACGATTGTTTGGGAGAGCCCAGAGTTTGGGAAATGCCCCAGTTGGGTGTGTATTATCAGGCAAAGGTGGTTAAATTGTACGGTTTGTTGACGCTAAGCTAGGGCAAATTGAAGTTATACTTGTAAAAGACAAAGTTGGTTATCAGTACGAGAAATAACTGGCAATGCTGTACTGTAGAAAATTATCACAAAGGCTTCAGGTAGTTGGTTCTTGTGGTATATTGTTTATTCCCAGTAATGCCCGTAAGGCTGTTGGCTGGAGTAATAGGGACAGTATCAGTAACCGAGAGCCATGCACCCTTCAGAAATGTGGTTCATATACCAGGGTATCATGCAAATCCAAAATCCAAACCTACATTAAACTACCTTTCTATTTATCATCATTAGCACTTCAAGCCAGTTTGCAGAAAACGTGACCTTAACACTGTCTTTACCACAAAAGTCATTTTGTAGAAACTAAGATGATGTAGCAGCTGTGCCTGTGTTGCTTTTTACTATATTTCTTATGTTTTATGAGATGTGTGTCCATTTCCCTTATTGTGCATCACTCTTGGTAACATTAACCCATTTCTGCTCGGCCATGCCTTTCTGCGCATAATTAACGGCTTGATCTATGGAGTGCGGCTGTACGCAGCAGCAATGCACCAAAGCACTACAAACCGGTCATTAGGCTTGATGTAGCAATCTCGCGTGCTCAAAATTGGCTCCTTGCTATTGATCTCAAGGGTATAGTTATTTACGTTTTCTTCACCAGGCGAAAAGGGGTTAACCCATATCTACTGAGCCATGGATTTCTCTTGCGAGTGCATCCAATCTGTAAAGAATTGCAGTGCTATATTTTTGTCTAGCTGCAATAACACACCTGTACACAAAATAGCATGATTAGGTCTCTAGCTCTTACAATTCTTCCTTCAAGTAATTAGTTCTGTATTAATAATCACTGCAGAGTTTTGGTTATCTAGGTAAAAGATATTTATATTAAGATGCAGTAATGCATGTCGCAAATTTATCCCCATCGCTCTTGAGCTATTTTTTTCTGTAGCTTTGCAGATTGTAAAAGCTCTGCCTGCATATATAGCTTCACAACCTGAAGCCTTCAGTTGAGAAAGCATTGTTGATTGTGTTTTTGAATTTTAGGTAATATAGGAAATCTTTGTGAAATAAGATGCACTAATTCACCTAAGTCCATACCTAGAAATCAAGCATGGCAACACGTATCTTCTGTGTTCTAGCAATATTCACAAATGTAGAATGTCTTTGGGGAAAATGCATCATGCTACAACCATGCAGCAGTCACTTCAGTATAAACCAGTGAATCTCAGGAGTAGGATAGTTTAACATATTCATTAATTCTGCCGGCAGGGTCACCATGAAGACCATCAATACCAGCCAGAAGGTGGTTATCCCCAAGGATGTGGAATTCAAGATACGTAACCGTGTTGTGACGGTGAAGGGCCCCCGTGGTACTCTCACACGTTCATTCCAAATGCTGAAGCTGAACTTCCATGTAAGTACTGTTTTGGGTGTCATTGTTTAGATTTTCAATCCAATTGAGAACTAAAGTTTTTGAATCTCCAGAGCTTGAAATTTTTATAGGTAGCTTTAATTGCATTTTTATAGTTCTGCAAATAGATTATATTTCTTGTAAACTTTATGTAAAAGATTTTTGGTAATTGCCTTTTTTCTCCTTTAGGTAAGGAAGACTGCCAAGGGAACCATTGTTAATGTTGAGAAATGGTTTGGCAAGCGCAAGGAAGTAGCTGCTGTGCGCACTGTGTGCACACACATTACCAACATGGTTAAGGGAGTGACAGTTGTAAGTATTCACTTTTCATCATACCCAATGACACCAGGGATGCCATGTATGCACATGCCATACCCCTTGTTTATTTTATTTATTATATTTACACATTGTTGAGTCCTCAGTAGTCTTGCCTAACTCACCTGTTTACGGTTTTCCTTGATTTTCAGAAAGTTTATTCCATTTCCTATCATTATTGGCATAATTATAATCATAATGTTAGAAATAATATTGATATTGACTTCATTAGTAAAATGATGATGATAATAATAACAATAATAATAATAATAATGTTATTGATAAAAAAAGACTCAAAGGGAGAATCGGGTAAAGTTGCATAGCATGCCAATTGATTCCTTGGTGACTGAGCACTTGTGGAGCTATCCATGTGTAAATGTTTCACAAAACAAAGCTACAATGGACATTACAACTTCCTGGAGGCAGTAGATTGAATACCAACTAGCAGGCTTTGTTCTGGTCAGTAATTCACAATTTATCAGTTTAGTGTTTGATAACCATTTTTTCCTTGGCTGTAGCACCTACATTATTCAAATCACTTTTGTAACTTCCTTTGTTCTTTAATGGGTAGCCAAATATCAAGGTTAGACCCAATAGTAATGGCTATATATAAATAGAGCAATGATACACAAGGAGAGGGTAATAGATGTCGTACCACACTAGAGCAGGTCGATTGGAAAGTTCTGCTACATGTAGTAGACTCCCGTGCCAAATGGCACAGCAGTTGCCAGAAGCCTTCAGTCAGTGATACAGAGAGATTTCAGATGTCAAGATTCATCCCAGTAGTCTACCAATTTTTGTTAAAAAATTAATGTAGGAGGGGGGGGGGTAAAAGAAAAGTAACTTGATAATTACTTTCACAATGTAGAAATGTACACAAATATTAATAATTATAATATCTGATCTTCATTTATATTTTTACCCAATAATGAGGGAGCTTGTTGGTAGCTTATGAGATCTCATTAGTTGGAGTCAGGTTCTTTACCGGACAATGTTTTGCCCTTTGTTTATGATGAGCCACCATGGCATATTGTCATGCTACTTGTTGCCAAAGGTTGTAAATATTTATCCCTCTTATGATATGATCATAGATTATGTAAAGATAGGTATGCACATTAAATTTCATGTTTGAGGGTGAGGTTTCGGTCAAGAATTAGTTTCAGCCGCCCCCCCCCCCCCCCCCTCCATTTTTATAACTATAGTTTCATCATCATTGCCAGAGTTTTTAGATTTCAGTTATCAAAATCACAGGACACTAAAGTTTTCTTTAACATTTTGATCAGTGACAAAGTTCAGAGCCGCAGTCAATACACTCACTTTTTACCTATTCAGTCTTCATTACTACCTTGGGGAAGGACCATGCTTTACTGGTTCCCCAAACACACTTTTGATAAAATTATTCTTTTTTTCAGGGTTTCCAATACAAGATGCGTGCAGTATATGCTCATTTCCCCATCAACTGTGTCATCTCCAATAACAATCAGTCTGTTGAAATCCGTAACTTCTTGGGTCAGAAGTACATCCGTAGAGTTGACATGCAATCAGGAGTTACCATCACTGCTTCTCCCAAGCAGAAGGACGAGTTTGTTGTGGAGGGAAACTCCATTGAAGCTGTCTCACAGTCAGGTAAGTCTTCAAATATATCCTGGTTCTTTGCCAATTCATTATAGTTGAATAGTTTTTGGTGATTTTTTTTTTTCATTGTTTATAACATTTTTTAATTGTATTGTAATTCTCTCCCAACAGCTGCTAGGATCCAACAGAGCACCACTGTTAAGCACAAGGATATCCGAAAGTTCTTGGACGGTATCTACGTTTCAGAAAAGGGCCATGTTGTGGAGACTGAATAAATAATTTGGCTGAGTCATATTGGCTTTCATTAAAACTTTTTTTACAAGATTGAAGTTATACTTTTATAAAAACAATAACCGATATTCTATAGCGTGAAGTAGTAGGTAATGATTAATATTTGTCATACCAGGAGTTGAAATATACATAGTGTTTTTGTAAACTACAAAATCTTAATATAAAAGTAACCAAATTGCCAGCACTTCCTTCCAATAATTTTTACATTGCCTCCAAAACAAAGACAAAAGCAATCTTTTTTATTTAACACATTTCCATCTGTAGGAGCTATACTAGATTGTTTATATTTACATTAAAAAATGAGAACATGTAAACATAACTATACAGGTAGGATGGTTCGGGGTAGAGGGAAGAGAGATGCCGAGACATCTTGAAGATGGGAAGGGACTGGAAGGAAGGCAGGTTTGAAACCAATAGAAAAAAAAAATATTGAAAAATTTCTGATGCATCATCATCAAAGGTCATTAGCAGTGTATTCAATTTACAGCAATAGCATTAGACTCGGGGGTGCATAACCCCCAGGAAGGAGTTTTTTGTTCATAAGGCAATGTTTGTGGATTCCCAGAATGATTAATGGGTAAAACAAATGTGCTAGATATCAAAGGTTATTGCCAGACAGCCACCGCCTGTTCATCTAGATGTGGCCTTAAGAAGGGGCATATACAAAATGTACCCTCCAACTGGATTACTGGGACCTAATGCTGGGGATCTCCCCTCCCTTGGGCCTCAGCCCATAACTACAAATTTTGCGGTCTTTTTCATTTCCATCCCTTTTCCAACCCCTTCTGCTATCCACTTACTATGGTGAGAGTCATGCTGAAAGGATGAAAGGCTGACTTTGTGCCAGTCATAAGCATGGTATTCCATAGTTTTAGTTTAGCCTTTACTCCTCCAGGGGATACTGAAGGGTGGACTCTTTCTCTCCCCAACACACTCTAGGCTTACCATGGCCAATAATGATGATATACTCTTGTTAGGGGCAATGAGGCTTGCCCTTTCATCAACTAGCCCCACCAACTCTCTCCCGGTTCCCTGACCCCAGGCTCTCCTTTGACCACGACTCCACCTACTCACTCCTCAATGCCTACTGATACATTATCGACCTAAGTCAAAACACAAACTCCAGGAAACATTTCAACTTCATCACCTCTGCCCCCATAACCTTCATTAATTGCCCCATCCTCCTTTATTACTACTATACAGCCTTATTGCCCACCTTTAATAATACTTCCATCAACATTACCCCCTCTTCCACATGTCCCTGTCCTTCTACCACCACCATCTTGACAAAAATTCTTAAGTACTATGATTGGCCCAGCCAAGTGGGACCACTTTTTCGTGATACCCCCCACCCCCAGCTACTTACTCTGACAACGCATTTCTCATCCAGGAATGTCTCAAAACAAAATAGGTAAAGTCTCATTCCATAGCCCACCCAATCGTTTTCGTCTCGTCAGTTACATTTGATAACCAAGCTATAGCATTATCAACCCTGATCCCTCTGGCAACCCCATTCCTCCAGAACCTCATCCAACCTAGTACCGGAACTGTCTATCTCCCCAGCAGACTGTCCTGTTTATAACAAATATTATTCAACCTTTAACTTTATCCTAATTTAACTCATTCATAATCATTTTCGTTACTCTTCCTTACCATAACACCATATGACCTATGATGTCATATAGCACTTCCTTGCCTGGTGGGCTTTGCCACCAAGCCTCACGTTGTCACTATATTTTGAATACGCCACTAATGGCCTTAGATGTTGATGCGGCAGAAATTTATCAATAAATATATAAATATCTTGGGCCTCAGTCTCCGTCTCCTAAGAACCCCCACGACGAGGAGCAAAGATTAGGGTGGATTGATGGAAGGTGTTGATACGGAATCTAATCTTATTGGTGTAAGGCAATACTGGTGTAAGACTTACGTCGGCCTTTGGGAAGAAGTGTATCCTATACTGGTACTGTATTATAGATGAGGTTGGCGAGCAGGGCGTTTTGCAGTTACCAGGCCTTGTCGTAGAACATGTAGAACAATCAGTCGAGACGGTAACCGTTCCGGTACAAGTATTAATGAAGGAGTTAGGTTGGGTAGGAATAGGTTTGCTACCTAGGTCAGTCAGCGTAGATAGTGCACGCGTTTGGGACTCGGATGTATCTCTGACAAGGTGTGAACGATGAGAATGGCAGTGAAAGAAAACTTTGCCTACTTGTTTATGAAAGAAAAGGGTATTGTCAAAATAAAGGACTGTAAGGGAAATCAAAGAATTGATCCCACTTGGCTAGGCCAAAAAGATTATTCAAAAGATTTGTAAGGGTGGAAGCAGTAAAAGGAAGGTAGGGTGGTGTGGAGTGAGGTAGTACAGTAGATGGATTACTATAATGAATATATATATATATATATATATATATATATATATATATATATATATATATATATATATATATATATATATATAATAGTAATGGTGGTTGGGGAAGTAGGAGAAGGATCCAGAGACTTGAGAAAAAGGAGCAGGGGAAGGTGGTGAAGTATCAGGAAAAATGTCAGGGATTCGGAGAACATTGTTGTGACATGAGGGAGTCACGTGAGCATTGTTGTGACATGAGGGAGTCACGTGAGCATCCAGGTGAATGATAAGGGTGATGGGAAAGGCACAGGGAATGGTGGTGCACAAGGAGGAGAAGGATGAATATCGGTAAATACATTAGATGTAGAGCGAATAGGAAAAGAGGGAGTGGGACGTTCTCTCGGGCCATGTGTTGGATGTCTGTAGGAGAATTAAGTGGGGGGGGTCTGAGGTAAGGTTTTCTTGTAAGAAGTGGGGTTAGATACCCGAGGAGCAGAGGAAAACGTGGGTGTAGGAGAGGATGTGGTATGAGATGAGATGTAACGTCTAGAATGTCTAGTGCTACAGGTGGAGTGAGGAGGAGGGTAGGCATCGGGAAAATAGTAGAGATTGGTGTATCTGGATTTAGACGAAAAGGAATTTCATTGAAGAATGGAGATGGGAGGGGAGTGTAGGTAGAGAGAAAAAACTCGTCGGCATGCTTCGTGTCTGGCGTAGAGTGAGGTCTAGTTTGAATATAAGGACTGCTACCTCAGATTTGAGCTGATTTTGCGGGAACCACCACAACTGGCACACATGCGTGACTGAGCAGAGCAATTTGAAAGGTCATGACCAGGTTGGGCACATAGAGGGTTGGGGGCTATGGAGCGACAGTGTTTGGCTGGGTGGCCAACATTTCTGATATTGATGAATAATCGATATGGTCGGACAGGGCAAGGTACCACCAACTTCATGGGGGAGTTCATGTCTACGGAAGCTAATCTTGGCAATATTGGTGTAGAACTTACGTTGGCCTCTAGGAGGAATAGTGTAGCACTGTACTGCCACTGCATCATAGTCGACGAGGCAGGCGAGCAGGTCGTTTTCACAGTCCTTGTAGATAGGACAATCAGTCGGGGAGACGGAAACAGTTCCGGTACAAATATTAAGGGAGGAGAGAGGTTGGGCAGGAATAGGTTTGCCATTGAGGTTAGTCAGGGTAGATAATGCACGAGCTCGGATTTAACTGTGACATTGCGTGAACAGTCAGAATGACTGCGAAAGGAAACTTTGCCCACTTGTTTTTGAAAACATTGTTGGAAAAGAGGGGTATTGTCAGAGCAAGGAGCTGTAGGGGAAATCAATGTGGAAATAGAAGAAGGACGAGGGGGGTGGTGCCGAATGAGGTAGTACTGTGGGGAGGAGGACAGTAGGGATGAAGAGCAGTAACAAGGGCTGGAGGGGTAGACAATGAAGAAGACTGCAGTAGATGTAGCAGAGGATACTGGGAGAGATGAAAGGGTGTATTCTGAAGGTTGAGTAACGTCCCGGGTGGATAATTCGGAATGCACTGAGCTGACAGCAAACATCGACGAAGGGGTATTAGTATCAGTCAAAGGAGAGGCAGGGGTCGGGAAACTAGTAAAATCAAATTTAGATTGGCTAGTTGATGAATGGGTAAGCACTAATGCCCCTAATAAGGGTAAAAAAATCGTCACTTGAAATAAGTTGGGAAAAGAAACAGGGTCCCCATAAGGGGTAAGGGCTTGGCATTAGCCAAGGAAATAACGTGCCCATGGCTCCCGAAGGCCGTTCATGACTGACACAAAGCGAGCTTTTCATCTTTTCAACACGACTCTTAGAAAGTGGACAGATGTAGAAGAGAAAGAAAAGGAATTGGGGAGAAGAAACGACCATGCAAAATTAGTTGAGGCGAGGGCTGAGGTCCAAGGTAGGCCCCTACGTTGGGCCTCAGTCTCCTTAGCTCCCTCCACGACAACAACGTGAAAGCGATTGAGGGTGGTAGGAGAAGACTAGAGTGTCTGCTATGGGGAGAACGAGGAGGGAGAGGGGCAGGTGTCGGGGCAGTGTTAGAGATTGGGGTGTGTGGATTTAAAATTGCAAAAGAATTTGACTAGGAGAGGAAGGGGGTACAATTGGAACGCAAGATGGAGTGGCGATTTATAAACATCTTGGGAGGAAGGAAGAAGAGCGGAGTGAAGGGCAGCATTCATTGGAGTAGGGAGTAAGAGAGAAAAAAAACAACGGGCTTCCTGTTTAGCCTCGGGTAAAGTGTGGCCAAGTTTGAATCTAAGAGTTATCACATCGCACTCAAACTTGTACGTAGGGCAGCCCCAATAAAATACATTATGGGAGCCACCACGATTGGTATATCTGCGTGACTGTGCACAGCAGTTTGATCGACCATTGCCAGGTTGGACAATAGAGTGGAACAGCAGTCTCAGGCATAGTGGCCTAAACGCCAACAATTCTGGCACTAGGGTGGAGGTTGGTATGATCAGACAGGGAGGGATTTTTCGCCAATATAAACGTGGAGGGGAAAGTCGTGTGGACGGAAAGTAAACCTGGCAATATTGATAGAGGACTTGCGGTCAAGGTCTGTGCTTACGGCGGCCCCTTGGAGGAGTATGTTGATACTACATTGTC